GTCAATATTGAATTGTAGTGTTGTAGTACTTTTTTTTCCATAGAAAGTATAATTAAATTAGTGCGATTTGCACCCTCATTGTGATTTGTGTGATTAAATGCATATACTTTGTTTAATTTGTAATGCAAATTGTAAACGGTAACGCTTTGATTGATATGCAAATTGTAAACGGTTACACTTCTATTGATATGTTAATTGTAAACGCTACACTTTTGATACAAAGTGTAGCATTTACACTTTGCATATGAATGAAAGTGTGACCGTTTACACTTTGCATATTTGCGAATGCGTTGCTTTTTACAATTTGCATATAAATTCACCCTGTTTGCAAGAATAAATCGTTGGCGAGAACAATGATGCACGTGACCAAAAGTGGTATAAGCATATTAAGCAAACACTAGAATGAAATCTACTGCAAAACACTTTGAAAAAGCTACATGACATTTTATAAAATTTAACACAATCACATTGTGAGGATATACTTTCTTTTAAATTAATTAGATCTTGAATTTGATAAAAAACCATGTTACATGTAGCTAAAATGACATGGATGAGAGTGAATCCTACCTTGGGGGCGCTTTGTCTATCATTAATTGCAAAATTGTTTGGCTGATCTGAATTATGATAGGTGTTCTCAGCTAAAATGACATGTTTTACAGTATGTGTGTCCAAGTTCAGGCAATAAAACCAGTGACTTTTCTAAAACAGCGGTACATATATATCCCACAATGCAATGTGGTGATGCATGGGGGATGATCGAATTGAATTGCAAATAGTTTGAAATACTGCATGTGGTTGCTCTCTACACTTTGAAATGCATCTGATCAGACTACCGGTAAGTTCTTTGACTCTAGACCCTGTGATTTGGCAACAAATTCATCACACATAACACATTCCTAGCATCACAAATGACTTTTCAATCTCCCGGGTCGCCGTGTTTGTTTTTCTACTATATAGTATGTAAACGGGAATGTGGGGACAAATATTAAATGGCCATAAGAGTAGAGTTGTACCACATGTTTAGAAGACAAGGCAGACTGTACTAATACTGCTCAGCTGACTAAACAGTGGACTCTGAGAATTTAACTTAGAATCTCCTTGAAGCTTGGTAAACTCACTAACCACTGTACCATCACCCAGGTAGGTACAGTTATGTATATAATTTAACCTAGAATCTCCTTGAAGCTTACTAACCACTGTACCATCGCCCAGGTAGGTACAGTCATGTTTATAATTTAACCTAGAATCTCCTTGAAGCTTGGTAAACTCACTAACCACTGTACCATCGCCCAGGTACATGTAGGTACAATTATGTTTATAATTAGTGATATTCAACCAAATGTTACAGGGAAAGCAATTACCAAATTTGTTCTATTGGTAGTACATATATACATGAATAATGTTGGTCTGTATATTATCCTAATAAGTTACATTTTAATGATCTTCTGTATTTATCGGAAACATTGCCCTTGACTGGTTTGTATTTCAAAAACTCAGGCACTTGAAAATAAAATTCGCATCGCGTTTTTGTGTATTTGGGCCATCAAAAAATTGTCCAGGTGTCCAATGAGTGATGTAAATTAAATATGGTAATATACGATAAGTTTTGGTTTATAAGCACTTTCACTGATTATGTGATTCTCACAGAGCAAATACAGTCATAGTCCATACTACTCACCTGCATAGAGTCTAAGTTATCCCCTGATTTGCTATTTTCTGGATAAGGTGGTACCAATGCTTGCAACCTAACTGCTTTCAATGACGTTGGCTGGCATGCTATCAAATGCTTTATTTCTTCTGCCTGCAATAAAATAAATTTTAACTCAAAACAGAATTTGTTTTCATTCACGATTTATCATAGTCCTTTCATTAATTCAACCACCTAACTTTGTCTGCAAAAATTATTTTTGATTTCCCTTTTTTTAATTCGACCACCGACAGGAGATAGAGCATTTAGATAGCTATCATCTCAGTAATTTGTTTTTTGATTGTAATGAATAACAATAAAACAAGTTCACTACCGGTAATTTGGGTTTTGGGCTATAAATGGATGTTGATCAAGACAAAAAAAAAAGATTTCGTGGCGCTTTAAAAATTGTTCACATTTTTCTAGACAACAATGTCCATAAGACCTGCACAGCAAACGACTGTAAAATATTTTATTTTAGCTAGAATTAATTTTCACTGTAGAGGATTTTTGGGTGTTTTGTGTGGAATTTATTTTAACTGATTTTTGACAAGTTGAATGTAAAATATAAGAAAACTGGTAGATTTGCGGGATTTTATTTTCACTGAATCATTCCTCCAGCGAAAATTAATTCCAAGCAAAAATAAAGTTACAGTATTGCTTTTATCGTGTACATGTAAGTTGAATTGAAGGCGTGTACATGTACTATGTTGTTCGAATCACACATATATGTAATCATACGTGTTAGTCCATTGAGGGTCTATGGCTAATCAGACACTTACTCTATTTGCATTATATCTGAGTCTCATAACACGTAGCCTATTGCGGGCCTCAGCAGCTCTGTAGACACAAAATAGATGTATCAATTTAATAGCAGTTTATACTGACATTATTTTTAAGTACATACAGTTTATATACTAGTAATTTGGGATACTGTAAAGGGGTTAATTATTCACTGGGTTTCAATTTTGCTTATTTCGCTGACTGGAAATGCGCTAAATTAATTGAGCATAGAATACATTATCTAAATGATAAAAGCATGAATTTAAAACCCACTGAATATGCCTGAAATGCTAAATCAGTGAAATTTAAACCCAGTAAAAATTATTCAAATACAGTATTTGAGATCTGACTATATACAAGACTACAGGTACTCAGCAAGTTTTTAAAACTGTCGTTTTTAGCACAGTTGTTTAATGGGTGAATCAGATTCTAAATGCGGCTCACGCTGTTTCAAACTTGAGTACACCATGTGGACAAGAAATGCAAGCATCAAACGCCCTCTATCAATGATTTATTTATTTTTATTCATTTTCAATATTTTACTAAAGGTAATATAATACTAAAGATTTTTAAGTTGCTCTTGCAAATTACCACTGTTGGTTTTATCTACTGGTTGATGGTCATATTGAAATGTGTTAAGAGGTTACCAATGTGAAATTTACATGCAAGCGAGGACTGGATGAATTGGGTTTTCTGCAAATTACAATGATGTACCATAGTTGTTTGGTTTAACCATGCCCAGGCAAACGCCCACCCACTAATTTTGATACAATAAAGAAATTGAGGTTATATTCGGGCATACGCCAGGTTGTTTTTTTCTACACTTGTTATAAAGAAAATTAAAAAAATCTATTTTGAGTTCTTTGTATTAACAATTGACTGTTTCTGTTAAAAAAAAAAATGTCAATTGCATAAAACGAGCGTTGAACGCTAAATAGCCGTGACAGCAAAATAGATAATTTCGCGTTCTGCCTTTAGGGCACTGCTGTTTACATAATTAACATTTATGTTTCAAGGTTTTTTATCAGAATCATAACAGTCAGCAAGTCTACAAAATGTATATTAAAGCAGAAACAGTAGTTCTCTTTTTTAAATACGTCGTGGCCCTGAAAAGGGCCATTTGGTTTGTGTTTCCTTAGAAACGATTCAAGCAGTATCGTCTATCGAGAGCCGCAAAGCAAGTGTCACACTGTTCAGCTCAAGCGTCATCGATAATGAACCAATGTTGCAATATTGTAGCAACTCGTACCTGGGAGAGTGGCTGAAAGCATGTTGATTTGGCTTTATAAAATATTTGGTAGCAGCTTGCAAATCCATAACTGGGGCCATCAGTTTTGCAATGTCACGATGATGACTTAACCTCTATGATGAAACACTAGTAGTGGTGTCATTCTTAGCCAATCAATAAAGCAGATGCTTAAAGGTCAAAGATGATAGAGCAGAGTAGTTTGCATGTGACCCCATTTTTCTTATCTCTTTATTGTGATTAGATGTGCCAAGCTGACAGACAGCGAAATCTGTGGATTAAAAGTGCTAAGTACAAATCGTGTGGGACGACATCAACGAACTTCAGGAAGAAGCTGTAGGGATTTTGTTCGTCAACGACAGTGACGCAAACTTGAACTTTGAGCCTTTTGACTTTGAGGAAGATGGCAATGAACATGCAAATATAGATCTGAGAAGTTTTTTCAAACATCTATGAACTTTCATAATTTTTACTGTGTAAATTCGTAAATTATTATTATTCGTGTATAACTGTTGATCCAGTATCTGACATTTTAATTCATTTTGAGTTCACACATATTGAACATGTTTGCAGCGGGGAAATTCTAATTCCAATGATTCCTCACATTCAATTTTTATTATTTCTGGTTTATTTGTCACATTATAAGCAATAAATTATTTTTGTTATACTAGTTCGATCTGCGTGTTGTAAATTTTTTTGCAGGGGATGTCCGGGTATTCTCCCACCCCTCTCTTTTTGGCAAATTTTCATGTTCAGGACACTGGCGCTTACCCAGACAACTACAGTAAGTTATTCGCAAAACAACATATTATGATATTCTGTAACTACCGGTAATTTATCTGATCCATGGCATTAGAAGGAATGCTAAACACTGACGTATTTGATGAAAACAACAGTGTATTTGTTAATGTGAACACAAAGTTATTTTGATGCTGATAGAACCAATAGAACACATTGAATAACACAGCAAGTGACAACTTTTGTTCTTGTATCCATTCATTATAATAGATATATGACAACAGAAATTAATGTACTGTGGATACAACATTCATTAATTCTTACTTCAACTGTCCAATCAGTTTACTATGTTTTTCTTTATCCAATTCTTCTTCTATTGGCCTTGGCTTCAATGATTGTTTCTGTTCTTTCTTCATCTCAAGCAATCTAGTTTTTGTCTTTGCCATGGCTTCAGCAACATGTTTAGGAGGTTCTTCATACTATATACAATAAATATAAGAGAATTTCACTTATATTGTATTTTCCCACAACATGCTTTAATGCTATATAATGCACTAGATGGTGCAACAACAGGAATGTCTGGTGGGATATTTTGTGGTTCAATGACCAAAATTACAATTAAGGGAAATATTACACAAAATCTAAAGCTATTACTGTACTATTTCACATGTGTAGTAATGAAGCCAACAACTAACATAGCAGTCCTCAATTAATATCACTCTTCTTACTCCGTGGAATCAAATGTAAAGAAACTGAACTTTGTGAAAGACAACGTTTTACCTAGCGATGAAAATTAAATATTTCTAGTATTGTAATGATTATTCTTTAAATTAACATCTCACAGTTTTTTTTTGGTTTTCATAGCATTACACGATCTTTAGGACAAGTAATCATGACCTTTGTATCAAAACAGGTAAATACATTGTACATGTATACTCGGCCTAAAACACCAGTCACGGAGAGAATTTGTTGATTTCGGTTTGTGCCGAGCGTTCAGGCAGAAAATCTAGGCAAGTGGCGAGTTTCGGACCCGAGTATCTAATGGGACCGAATTTTTCAGCACGTGCCAACTCGGTCCAGATCGTTCACACACGTTACCACATGTGCCGACTCGGTCCTGAGTCTCGACACATGCCACTATAGTTTCCGTGGCGGTTGTTAATTTTGAGTGCTAATCCGGGCCGACCTCTGTTGCTCACCGTGGTGAGTTCCCTGTATAGGTAGTGTATTACACCATTTTGTGAAATCACACAACAACAAAATGACCATTTCAGAATAATCTGCACTACTAAGAGACACTTACCGCTAAGTATTTGCTTCTTTCTTGTGGTGCTAAATTAGATAGCTCCCTCTGTGTTAGAGTTTTTTTGTTTTTTGCTTTAAACTTGCCATCAGAACTATCATCTGCATCCTGAAAAGCACAAGAGACATACATATCAACAATGAAATGAATGATAACACTTTAAAAAAAACAGTAATTATCTCTGACATTTCTTAGCAATGTGCATCATCTGCATGACTGCATGACATATATTATACCATACAATGTATTTGTTCAACCAGAAGCAGCTGGTTTCTAAGTTATGAATGTTTTGCTAACATTGTGGTCATGGTCCTTGTTTCAATTGCTTCTTCCATTCCTTAAAATCAAAGGCTTGCAATTTTGCTCTGATAGTGATACTTTTTTTAACTTATTCCTGGTGACATATCTGCTTTCCAGTGTGTATTACATTTGAGTGTTTCTGACCACTTTTTAATAAATGTTAAGAACTTAATTTGTCCTTTTCAAATCAGTTTTATTTTGTAGGGCTATCCTGGTTAGTATTAACATGGAACCACAAGTTGAGTTTTTTAGTAGAGTTTTTGACAAATGTTAATAAAAATAAACTTTATACTTTATAGAATCTATAGATATATCTAATTTTTCTATTAAAATTTTCGAGCTCTATTATAAAGGGAACAAATTAATCAAAGAAAGCTTAGAAAGAACTCCCGTGTGCTGAGAGTATTGAAGACACATTAAAAATTAATTCAAAATTACTTGTACTTGAGATATTGATGGAATAGCTGAAAACTAATTATGTAAATCAGGTAACTGATATGAACAGATTTGAGTGTAAAACTAATAAGACCTGCGTAATGTAATATCTATGTACCAAGTTTCATTGAAATGTGATTAGAACAAAAAAACTATGAATTATTATGAGAGAATTAATATGAACAAATTTCAACCCAAAATTAATCAGGCCTGTCTATTCTTCTAGAGCATTTATGTACCAAATTTTATTCAAATGTGATGATCAGTAATTGAGATATTAGTGTTAATTAATTATTTTAATTAGGTAATAGTCTTAGGTTCATCGAAATGTGATAAACGTTTTATTAAAATCCAATTAGTGGTTCTTTATATATCAGTGGAACATTCATGGAAAAAATTAACTAATTATGCGAATTAGGTAATTAATATCCACAATTATTTACCCTAAAACTAATCAGGTCTCTGCATAGTCCTAGAGGATCTATGTAGCAAGTCACATTGAAATATGATAATCAGTACTTGAGTTATCAGGCGAAAAGCTGAAAATTAACTAATTTAATATGCTAATAAGGTGATTAATATGCACAAATATTTACCCCAAAACTAATCAAGCCTCTGCACAGTCTTTAAGTAACTATGTACCAAGTTTCATTGAAATGTGATGATTACTACTTGAAATATCAAAAGCTGAAAATTAATTAATAATGCAAATTAGGTAATTAATATGTACTGATATTACCCTAAAAACTATCAGGTCTGTGCAGTGTCATATGACATCTATGTACCAAGTTTCATTGAAATGTGATGATTACTACTTGAAATATCGAAAGCTGAAAATGTATTAATTATGCAAATTAGGTAATTAATATGTACTGATAGTACACTGAAAACTATCAGGTCTGTGCAGTGTCCTATGACATCTATGTACCAAGTTTTATTGAAATGTGATGATTAGTACTTGAGATACATGTATCAGTGGAAAAGCCAAAAATTGAATAATCATTATGCAAATTAGGTAATTAATATTGCACAGATTTTTACCCAAAACTAATCTGCGCATTAGTTCAGAGCATCTATGTGCCAAGTTTCATCAAAATCCAATGAGTGGTTCTTTAGATATCAGTGCAACAATCATGAAACAGCTAAAAATCAGCTAATTATCATGCAAATTAGGTAACTAATATGCACAGATTTTTACCAAAACCTAATCAAATCTGCGCATTGGCCCAGAGCATCTATGCACTAAGTTTCATCTAAAATCAATGTATGGTTCTTGAGATATCAGTGGAACAGACACACACACACACACACACAGACACACAGACAGACACACAGTCAAGTATAAAATACAATTTACTTGACATCAAAAGATTAGTCACAGATTTTATGATCATTTAAATAATTAACACAGCAACTCCACTATTCATCTATCAATATGCAAATTAGTGTATATTCATTAGACATCAAATTGATAAATCAAATACACTCAGCCAGCATTTTCTAAGTCAAGCCTACGTCACAAACTGGTCAAAATCCCCCAAACAGTGCCAGCAACCAATCACAGACTAGCATAAACAATAGCTTTCCCTGACGATAATACTTAGCAACGTTATTTCCCCCACGCTAACTTGAAAAATCTTTGTTTCGTTTTTGTTTCCGGTCTGTCTTAGAGAATACTCACAAGCACAGTCAGCTGGCGCACAAGTGATAATAAAATAAACGTGATATTTATTATATGGAGGACGCCATCTTTAAGTTGTGAAACGCGGTTTTCAGAACATAGAACACGTTCCCAGGGTATTTGAAACCAAAAATTGTCTTTCAAAGTCAGTCACCAATCAGAAAATGCTTTACAGTAAGATGACAATTTCAGTTTCAAATACCCCAGGAAAGTGTTCTTGTTTTATGTTTTATGTTCTTTGCGTAATTAGGTGCTCGTATGCAAAAGATTTTTCTACACAAAAACGATTAATTCGATCAAATCTTATTAGCAATTGGCTTAATAATACACCAATGTATGGTTTGGCTGTGAAAGATTGCTATTTTTTGGCTGATTTTTAGGAATCTGATAAACGCGTTTCACAACTTGTTTCTTTATTTAGTTTCATGTTGTATAGTAAATATCCATTTATTTTATTATCACTAGTGCGCCAGCTGACTGTGCTCATAAAGATACATCTAACGTAACAGTAAGTTATAATCAGTGTGAATCATGAGCTTCCATAAAATATATACTTTGATATGGTTTAAAACAATTCTTCTATAGAAACAATTTAGTGTGATTTTACTTCCTGGAAATTTCTACTACACCCTTAAATATTAACTGCCAAAACTACAACCAATCTCAACGCCACCACAGTATTCAAACTTCAAACTAAAATGATAAACTCTCGATAAACTAGCCCTGTTTACAAAACAATAGATTGTAATAGACTGAGTTTCACAGGGCTCCCTCATCCATAGGCATAACTCTAATCCTTACTCTGCCCCTCCAGTGCTCTACCCATCCCTCTTCGTGTCACTTATAGTTATTTGTATGGCAAATTGAATTACATTGGGGAAGGGTGGGCTGGAGTGTTAGGGTTAGCCTGTTAGGCTTCAGGTTAAGGATGAGAGGACACTTGTACATTGTATTAGCCCTGCGTACACAGAGCTAACATTGTATCTGCTCGATATTGCATGGATCTCGTTTTTTCAGTCAATGATCTTCTTGTGACTGTATTTTGTAAACTAAATTAACACATTGAAATCTTTCCGTCGTAATATCATATAAACTCACCTTTCCGTTCGCTGGCATGTTGATGTCTTACGATATAGTCCAAAATAAAAAGGCAACGATAGCACGAGTACTGCGCAAGACTGTGGTGTTCCTTTTCTGTTCACAATTAAAACAACATGGAGGCCGTGTGTGAAAGGGGGCTCGGCCACTCTTTGTTACTTTCGTTCAAAACTTCGATAAATTGACAGGTTAAACAGACTCGCGGGCGCAAATATTTCAAATCACAAAAATGTTGCCATTGATGAGTTGGCAGGATCGCTATAAACTGTATAAAATTCAAAGGTAAACAACAATACCAATCAAAAGACGCGTTGAGTAAGTGCGTTTCCAGGTGACCGTTTGTTTGTTCGGTAGATGGCTCCAGTATTTATGTGAGCGCCACCAGCGACCGAAGTCTCTGATTTATCGCGTCTGTCAACAAAACTGCCAGGTTGAATACGTCGTCAAATTGTGAACAAGATTTGATAAAATTATTGTAAAACAGAATAACTATATCATTCAGTTTAACATTCTTTGAATTTTGAAATTGCCTTAATTGTAGAAGGCAGACAAGTATATTTTCTAACCTCAGCTTCAGTAAACCCATGTTTTTCCAGCAATAAATTGTTCACATTTCGACATGAAATATCTACGAGAATCTATCTCTGAATACTAAAAAAAACCATTTTCAGTTAACATTAATGAAATCTATTTCATTAATTTAGTAGAAAAAAAAAACAGAAAATAGTTCAGAAATAGGAAATATCCAAATACAGCCACTCCAATTCCTATAAAGAAACACAAAAATAAAAATTCTCGTTTAAACTCTGGAGGAATATCCCTGTTCTTTGAAAAACGTTCTTCGTAATGACATTACTCAAATGACAAGTCACTGAGAAATGAAGACTTCGTCTGGGCTCGTTTTGATAAAAAGTTTTCTTTTACTTAGATAAAAATATATCAATCTCTACACATTCTACTTGAGTTAAAAATATTCCAGCTAAAAAAATGTCATGAAATTTTCATCAATTTGCCGGTACATAAAGGAAGAAAGATGTTGCCATTTTCAACAATAATGTTTCCCCGACCAATAAGTACAGACAGTTCCTACAGAGTAAGGGTATCGTGATCTGGCAGTTAAAATCAATATGGCAACCAGCTACAAGACATTGCAGCTATAGAACATGAACCCTTACCAGGCTATTGAACAAGAAATACAAAATTACAAAGAGAAAGGTGCAATAATGATACAAGGCGATTTTAATGCCAGAACTAAAAATTTAATTGACACAATAACAGATTATGAGGACAATTATACTCCAATGCCAGACAATTATATTTATGAAAAAGATATGAAAAAGAGAAAAAAAATGGACACAAGAAAAATACATTTGGAGATCACCTTATACAACTATGTAAAA